GCAAATTTTGCAGAATTTGGGAATCCTGCTCTCGACAGTCAACAGAATCATTGTGCAGTTCAGGAAACACGGCAAGGAAACAATTGAGCAGTGTCCGGGTCGTCCTGGTCCATCAGAGAGGACAAAAAGGGCTGTCAAGAGTAGCATCGAAATGGATCCCAGATTAAAGACTGCAAAAGTGGCCAAAGTTGGTGGGATGAGCCCAAAATCTGTTCAACGGAATCTCCACAGATTGGGTTATCGTTGCAGAGCAGCTAGACGAAAGCCCTTATTAAGACCTGCCAACATAGTCAGACGAAAGAAGTAGGCAAGTGATATGATGACCAAGCCTCTAGACTTTTGGAAGAATGTATTGTTCTCAGACGAATCAAGATTCGCCCAATTTTCTGACAGAGGAAGGATATGGGTCTGGAGAATGCCTCACCAAGAAATTTGGCTCAACAGATTGCAGCCAACTGTGAAGCAGGGTGGTTTCAGCGTGATGGTTTGGGAGCTATTTGGGATGGTGGGAGATTGAGCTGAGTGGAGTGCGTTGGCAACATAAATTTTGCGAAATACGTCGAAATATTGGAGGAAGGACTCTTGTCACTATATTCCTCGGGTTTCGTGGACAAGAACGCAACGTTGTTCCAAGAAGATGGAGCACCGTGTCACACTGCTAGAAACACCCAAAAGTGGCGGGAAGAAAATGGTATCCAGAAGTTGTCCTGCCCAAGCCAATCTCCTGACATGAACCCCATTAAAACCTCTGGGCCATACTTGACCGGCAAGTCAAGAAACAACCAGAAAAACCAACTTCGAAGAGCCATCTACTCCAAGTTTTAAAGCAAGAGTGGACGAAAATCCCACAATCTAAAATCCCAAAGGATCAACGAACTCCACGAAGTGAAAGGAAGATATATATCAATTCATGTGAATATGACTGAAAAATTTAATTTTTTTCTGAAAAGGTGGTGTCTATTTACTTGTGACTACACTGTGTAGAAATATCTTGGGTGCCTGGATTTTAAAAAAAAACAAATTACCAGGTATATAAAATTACTCTTCTGTGTTATTGGAAAATCGTAAGGTATTTGTAAGTGAAACATCAAAATTTTATTAATCTTTATATTTAGTACAACAGAAACTTGGGTGTTTGGGTTCAGCATAAATTTCACTTTTTCAGCTCAGGCTCGGTCCTCATAACCATTTTTTGCTTTTTTTGTAGTTTTCATGCTATAACTTTTAAATTAGTAAGCATATGTTCATGAAATTTGGCACCTTATCAGTAAACATTACAATGCTTTCATATGCAAAATATAAATTTTTTTTATATTAAGTCTTAAGGTTTGTTAAGCAATGTTTTTCACATGTTGCCTATCTAACATGCAAAGTAATTTTCATTTTAAGATTAAAAATAATTTTATGCCTCAGAAATCTTTATAATGTCCGAATAGTTATGAAACATTTCGTCAGAAAAATACTTTCTATTTTATCTGTTATTTCCAGTAATGAATCTCTGTGCAGGTTTGATAGATTTGATCGATCACATAACCACCTTACAAAATTAGGAAATAAATATAAATTATGTCTCTCATTTTAGAATGAACATAGATTATAACACGAAAACATAAATGTTTAGACTAAATAGCTTAATTCTCATAACATTATACATTTATATATATTTATTTTTATTATAATGACCTTTCACATATGCCTGGCTAACAATACAC